ATAGATGATTGCCAAACGAATGACTGAATGAACAAGTGAAAAATAAATCCATGCGTTTAAAAATTATTTGGGAAATAATCATACAATGCTACATAAGTACACACATTATATACACATACATTTTTGATAACAAACACTGTTTCGAGTAATCACCTAATCGGATGCAGTGGCCGGGTTCAACTTCCTGCGTATGTGTGATGCCTTTTAAGACCTTAAAAACTAATTAAGAAAAAATTAATAGCAACATTACAACGGTGAGACTCATGATGATGCTCACATTGGATATGTAAGCAACCCTCCGATCGTAATTGGTTGAGCGATAACACGGCTTTAAGAGATGGCATTGACATTGAAAATGGCGTAAACAACTGTTAGAAATTTTATATGTTCCATATGCATGCATGTAATATATGAATCTGTATGAATATATATATTGTAATATAGGCTACATCATAATAAATATGATACTTGTAACTAGTATGAGACACAGTGACAGCTTCAGGCGTATGTATGCAACAGGTCTAGAACATGAATCCTATGGTTTTTTTCAACATGGTTTATTAATAGGACCATTCAGCTTTTTCAACATATGCTATAGTAGTGCGTGCGAATGGAAGCACGCCGTACAACGTCGTTCTGTCTGAAGCGCTTTCTGCATCATTTTGCCATTGGATGAGTGAATGGTGACTATGTGTGAACGGGTATAACTCAGAAAGTAGAATTTTTGAGTTATTTTTTTGATTTCATTTATACAATTTTTAACACAAATTTTCAACAAAAATTTGATAAACCAGTAGCAGATATATTTTTAATTAATTTTTAAGGTAATCACCTATTTGTTCTGTTTCACCATACGCGTGCATTGCGTCCGTCATACACCTGGTCCTTGTGGGTAGTTTGCGTAATAGTAACTGATAAGTAAATTAGGAATATAAATAAAAGATTTTGTAATTGGTCAGTGTAAGAATAAAAATAGAATAAGTACAACTCGCTAAGTACAACTACATTGCCCTCCCAAAAAGAACTGTACGTTAAAAACCGCAAATATGTAGTCAAATTTGAACTTGTTAGATTATTGAAAGAATTTGATGACGTTTAATGGAAAGATTTAGAGCGGACATGACGAGGCAAAATATATAAGACTGAATTTACATATGGGCGTTTACATTTACATACATGTTCAAAGGAGGGTAACGAGAATGACAAAGAAGGGTAACGAGAATGACAAAGAAGGGTAATGAGAATGACAATGGAGGATAACGAGAATGACAAAAGAGTGTCGCGATATGCCATATGAATACAGATTAAAAGCTTGTGGATTGACAACATTAGAAAAAAAAGAACAAGAAGAGACTTGATTCAGGCATACAAAACTATCACTATGAAAAAGAATTTGGAATCAGTAAAAATTTTTGAACTTAGAATGAATAATAAAACAAAGGGGCACAAATATAAGATCTTTAAAAAAGTTCGGGATCGATAAAGCAAAAATTTTTCAGCTACAGAGTTGTCAACAAGTGGAACAAACTGGGAAATAAAATACTATGCACAGAAACTACTAATTTTAAAGCAAACTTGCCAAAAATAAGATATTAAAAGTATTCCGAGTGGTCCTGTCACAGACTTGGGTGACTATAAAAATCTTTGTTATGTTATTGTTATAACCATTGACTCTCGTAACTACCAACACCGATGTTATAACTTCAATGATTTCTATATTTTCAACACCAGTGTTGTAGCTTCCAACGATCGTCAAGTGTTGGTTATTTTGTAGGTTCAAGATTTCCGATAGATGAACACAATTGCTTCAACACAAACTTTGTTGAACGTTTATTTGAATACCCACAGTAATAGAAACAATAGACTAATCCAAGTATCTACATAAATCACATTTATGACTTCGCTTTCTCATATTATCTATCTACTAAACAATCGCAACAACATTTATAATATGTTAATGACGATGATTTGAAAATTTGACATACACTTGAAAATTAAATAGCCTTTCAAGTGTAAAACAGCTTTGCCTTCCAAAGCCCCAATTGAACGTCGTTCATTCAGGTGCTCTTATTCTAACTATTCATCGTATTCGTTTTTTGATGATCTGTTTGAAACATTACTGCTCCTTAAAGTTAAACATTTTTGGTGAATTTTAATATCAATGTCTGTTACATTTGTAGGGTAAACCCTTATGGAAGTTACTGCGATGTAATATCTGTATACAAAATAATAAAGATGACAAGTTTCGTAAATGTAGGATTCGTTTATTAAGCATATAAATTCTTTTTTTAACTGCATAAATTGTATCAAATGAAAACTGCATGGTATTTAAAATATTTTTTAATTACTCGTAGACAGTGTTCAAATACTACCAGCAGCATTTCGTATTTAAATACTATTTAAACATTGGAACTTGACTAAGTATTTGAAAAGTATTCATTACCCATATACTGGTGTAGCTTTTTACTAAAGACATCTTTTTTTCATTTTACGTAAATTAATTTAATTTGTTTATTAAATGGACGTTAAAATTCTTTTCTTTATCATGTAATTTCAACAAATGCAAAATTTAAAAAATTAATTTTTTAAACATTACGCTAAAACTTACATATCCACACAATTCATTTATATATTATAGTATTATATATATATTATATATAATATATATATATATATATATATATATATATATATAACATTAGCTTACAGCTACTGAAAAAACTTAGTGATTTATTTCAACTTCAACGTTTTCTATAAAAATAAAATAACGCCACAATAAATTTTCCATAGTCACAATCCAGGTTTCTAACAGGATCTTATTGAATTTTAAAGAATTTGTGAAAATGATATTCAATCAAATTTATTCAAAAACTCGCCCACAAAAACAAAAGCACTAAAACCACAAAAAAATTCTTTAGTACTCGTGCACTTATATAACGACGGAGATAGTGCTTCGTTCATCGTGCATGCATTACATAGAAACACTACAATTAGTGTTTCAGACAGCCAATCATATTCGCGTCTCACGTGATCATTCGATGTTTACATTGCGCAACATCTACAGAGTTGAACCTTTATGCTAGTAATTATTATAATTTTTAATAAGCTTTATGTTGGGGCTTTGTTTGTTCATTGAGCAATTTTTATACTTTATAGATTACGTTAGTATAACAATTAGCGCCTTGCATTCGACATAATGGCTTTTATTAATAAATTGTATCATTATATTTATGTTAGCTAGGAAAGCCTTTCTTGTGAGTTTACTAATTAGTTGCTTTTGTTGATAATAATAATTAATTGCAAGACAATACTATTTTATTTATTCCTTTTAAAATATCTTCATTTAAATTCATCGGTTTTTATAAATAAAATAATTTTTTGTTCTCTGGCATTTGCCGCAGAAATATAAAAATATGGATGTTGTACTGAAACTGACAGACGACTATTTTTTCACGCCCTATATTTATGGAGAAAAGTGGTTGGAAGATTATTGGTTGAGACAGTTTATTTCATTAAACTTAATCGCAACGTGTGGAGGGTACTTACTCTACCTGATTGTCGGGTCCTTCAGTTACATTTTCATTTTTAACAAAGATCTTCTACGGCATCCGCTCACCTTAAAAGTATAAATGCCTCTTCTCTTCTTGTCCGTTACATTCATGAAAAAAATATTTTTTTATTGATAGATATTTGTTTAAAAATGTCGGTTTGAATTATGACTCGTTATTATCATGATTTATTTTGATTTTTCTGATTATCACGGTTCATTTTAACGTTATTTATAAATGTCTAGATAAACGAGAAAAAAAAAGTTCATTCTTAGTAATTTCATCGTTTAAAAATCAAATTTTTTAGAACCAGCCATGGTTGGAAATGTGCTGCACATTCAAATCCTTACCAGTCATGGGGTTCTTATCAGCTGTGGTGTTCCTGTTGGAGGTGAGAGGTCATTCAAAGTTATATGACTCCATAGAAGATTCAAAATTCGGTATATATTTATATGTTAATTTATAATTATTTAACAGATATTCACTAAATTTTATTAATTGTTTTTAGGACTTTATAACGTTTTTATTTCGTTTATCAGTCTATATTACATATAGTCTATATTTTTTAAAACTGTACAATAACTATCAATAACTACTTTTTTTAATTTGGCATTTTTTTCATATATTTGGCAATATTAATTAGATTTAAGTTTTAATTCTTGTTCATTTTTGCAAAGTCTCATCAATATTTCAAATCTTATTAAATCTTCAAGTTTATTCAATTATGTCTACTAAAATTTTTGAGCAAAACGATTTCTCTTTAAGCAAAATTGAGCGTGGGACTATTTTTTAAACCGTCTTGAAATACTATTGTATGATAATCGTTCACTCGATATTTTACATTATTCAGGTGCAATGGCGATAGTCTTCTCATCAATAATGTTCATTTTGTTTACAGACTGTCTCATTTATTTTATTCATAAGTATCTTCATCACCCATTAATATATTCCACTATTCACAAGCCACACCACAAGTGGAAAGTCACAACCCCATTTGCAAGCCACTCTTTTCATCCTATTGACGGATTTTCACAAAGTCTGCCTTACCACATCTACGTGTTTTTATTTCCTATGCATAAATTCACTTACCTGATCCTTTACATACTGGTCAACATCTGGTCAGTTTCAATACACGACGGAGATTACAGAATTCCTGTGCTACTTCAAGATGTCATCAATGGGGCAGCACATCACACAGATCACCATCTTTTTTACAATTACAACTACGGACAGTATTTTACATTTTGGGACAGAGTATGTGGTACGTACAAAACTCCAAGCGCTTACCAAGGAAACGGACCTTTGACTTGCCGAAAAAATGAAAAATAACTGCTTCAAAAATATAAAATATGATTGATAATATTTTTTTATTACTTCTTTCAACAAATATTTCCGTGTATCAACTTTAAAATGCCTTAACTGTGTGTTTACTAGCATTTGTCATCGATTATTTGTTTCCGAATACTTCAAAGTTTTTGATTTAAAAGATGCCATGTTAATGTTTCTACTTATTAAACGTAGTGTTAACGATCAGAGTAAAAACACCAGAGATCATGATTATTTGATTTTGAATCTTCATCAGTGCCATACTCTGGTGATAAAATGTTACGCCAACTTTGAAACTAACGGTATCGTTATTCTTTCTGAAACTCTCAAACTATTTATTACGAATAGCATTTTAATAAACATTTGTTTGTCATTAACGCTCGTTCGTAGTGTTTGTCGTCCACTCTTAAGGAAGAATAAAGGAAAGAACTAAGTACTAAAGAAACTAGCAAGAAATATTGCAAAAGTTTCAAGAATTTTCGTAAAAATATTAAAGTTTAGCAATAGTTATTTGTTTATGCAAGCATTTTGCTATTGTAGGGATGACGAAGCCATGTACGGATTATAAATTTCATGCTGTATGCTAAACTGTATTAAGAATGAAATATATAGCATAAATAAAATAAAATCGCAACATTTTTATGAATGGTTTGTAAAAATTCTACGTCGTTTGCATATTTTCGTAAAAATATGAAACTTTTTAGTTTGAGTTTTTTTTTAAATAAGCGATGGAGAAAAATTAATTTAATTATATGACATAATCTATTTGTCACATGAGTACCTTACACACCACCTAATTCATATATATATATATATGTGTGTGTGTGTGTGTGTGTGTGTGTGTGTATGTGTGTGTGTGTGTGTGTGTGTGTGTGTGTGTGTGTGTACAGTTTATCTACCCAAAATTACGAGAACTACATTAGTCATCAATCACTACACAGGATTTTTGTTATATTTATTTGTTTTAAAATAGTTTTGTATTGCTTGCTGCTTCTGACACATGTCACCCAGACATCCATCCTTAATACGCCACCGACTGAAAAATATTTTCTAACGCTATAAAAAACCAAATTTTCAACTAAACGGGTAATCCGGGCTCTTTCAAACGACGCCGTTCTTCTTGGTCTAGCATCTCGTTGATTTACACAAAAAAATATTATTTTTAGTAAATATCTATTTTTCAATTTTTAGTTATTAAAATATGTTTTGAATATACACTTACATTTTATTCAGGAAAAAAATAATAAAAATAATTTATTAGTTATACGGGATTTTTTTAAATAAAATAATGTTATTATATCAAGTTTCCTATTAAAAAGGAATCAGTGTGCTTTAAGTTGTCATCAACAAATTTTTAGACGTATTCAAATTTTTAAATGAACAAAAATTTGTTTTGAAATTTTAAATGGACGAAACAAAAACGACTTTGAACTTAGCTGCATTGTTAAGCTATGTTAATTAACTTTTCATGCGATGTTTTTAAAAATAGAGTTTTAGCTTCTATAATCTCATAATGGTTTAAAATGTAGTAAACAGTAAACATTATTAATTTTTTAAATTTTAACACCGTCTTCACTGAAATTTTTAATCCGATTTGAATGGTTAATCTTTGGCTCATTATTTAACATTTTCACAAATGAATGACATCAAAGAACCATAAATTTTTAATGGCGGGTGGGTTATAATTTATGTGCGAAAGAACAAAAACTGTTTTTTAATTATCAAAAACAAATGTTATTGTTATAACATATATTACATCATTTGTAAAAAAAATTGTCCCAAATACCGAAATGACAATCCATTGTCTATCACAAAAGTCGCAACTTAATATAGTACAACTCGTCAGGTTTTTGGTCAGAACTTGTTGATGAAATCGAAGACGTATCCGGAAAAGAACAGCGACGTAAGATATAATGATGACGTCATCAATGGAAAAGCTTTTGACGAATGCGTAAGGTTGATGCTTTTCATCCATCTGGTAAGCAATTTCCCCAACAAGCTTGGTTGCACGGTTTTGAATGAGCTGAAGCATAGATATCATCTTGTCGGGTAGACCATAAAACAAACTATTGCAACAATTCAATCTCGCATGTACAAATGCATGGATCAAACTTTCTCTTTAAAGTGATCTTTTAACTATCCTCAACATGCTCAACTGATTCAAAACTACTACCACTGCTGCAGTCCAAAATAGTCGCAGAAAGTTGCATTTACCTTATTAAAATTTGTTTAAAACGTTTTACAAAATGTTTACAAAGATCAAGTTGAAACCTTAAAAATTTACTGAATTAAATTAAGCAATTATTCTCAAGTACGTTTTTACATTTTCAAGTTAATTAATGCGTTGCGCTCATATTTTTTAATGTACAATGTAATAATATAAGCTATATGTAACAAATATATGAACGTACTTGTATGACTATATAGTTACGATATAGATCTCAAGCTGGCTTTAGGTATATAAAGCTTCTAACCTAAAACCCACCGAGTTGAAAACTTTATTTTTATTGATAGAAAAACCTTCCAGATTATTCGATTACAGAAGATGAACAAATATTTAATAATTTTCTTCTTCCTCGTTGTTGTTATGCAGTGCTGTTAGTTTTTAATTTTTTTTTAAATAATAACAAATTAAATGAATTGAATAGGAAAAAGTATTTCTTTGGTTAATTCTTAATAAAATAAACGCAAAAAGTTTTGAAAGCTGAAAAATGCTTGCAGCGCAACATGAATGATAATTACTTAAACAACTTGATTGACAGCTGGTCAGAGGAGACCGCCGAGACTTCCTCCCTGGAAATGTCCACCAGTCATGTGTGCCCTCTACTGCAGAAATGGCTTCGTGACGGCCGCGAACGGTTGCAGAGTTTGTAGGTGCAGGCCGTCAAATTTCATCAAACTTCTTCCACCACAACCAATATTAATCTAAAAATTTGAGAAACAAAATGAAAAAATTAAGGAAAAAAATTTGAGGATTTTTAATTGATTTATTTAGCATTAAAAATCAATAAAACATTAATTGATTTATTTAGTATTAAATATCAAAAAACAGTGTTGAATGACACTTTTTGACCATTAAAACTTTTTAAGACTTCGAATGACTTTGTGACAATATGAATTCACAATAAACTACCTTTTGAGTTCAATTTCTTGTTCAAATTTATGGCGCACTACAGTGGTGGATCTGGGTAGCCAGTTTTGTTAATTAAAGTCAGTAAAAATCTGTTTTTCGATAGGAAAACACCGATTTTATGTACCAAATGCATAAAAAATTAGGATATAAGCAAAAAAGGTCGCCAGCTTAATTTTGGCCACACCAGCAAACAAACGTATGGTAATTTTCTTGCTCTCCGTCAAATTTCAAAAAATTTTCACAATTTTCACATTTTGGCCTCCCCGTAAACGTTGTCTAGATCCGCCGCTGGTGCACTTTAATAAAAGATATATAAAATGTAACTTTTTGTTCACTGCTGGAAGTTATGTGCAAAATTAAATTATAAAGTAGACTACATATACTCACCAAATAACTATAACTGGCTCTCGAAAACAACGCACCCGCACACATTTTCAGAGCGCTCTAGAGTCTGGTTCTTGCAACAATCAACAAATTCATTCAATTTCGTGCAATATTCAACAAATTTGTGCTATATTTAACAAATTAATGCAATATTAAACAAATTTGTGAAACATTCAAAAAATTCATGCAAAACTTAAAAAACTCGTGCAACATTCAACAAATTCATGCAACATTCACCTCTGCGCAAGAAAACATTATTACATCTGATGTTTCTGCTACTCTTCTGGTATGCCTGGTCTTATCGAAAATAAACTACTGCAAGTCTTTATTACATAAAGCCTTACGCACATCTGTCAAGAAACTACAGATTATTCGAAACAAAACCTCCTCGCTCTTCTATTCTCGTTCCAATGCTTCACTGGCTTACTGTTTCCGCTCGGATCATTTTCAAAATTGCAATCCTAACCTTCAAAATATTTTGTCAAAACCCCTGCATATCTACATGACTCCATATGTTCATTTTCGAAAAGTCAATCAATTTTAGAAGTGATTCAAAACTTTTGTTTAAGCTGCACTAATTTCTCCTACAAAACAGAGTTGTAATTAATTTCTTTCTGCAATTGTTTTGAAATATATATCGTACGTGGTTTAAAAAAAACGGCCTTAACAGTTTTCAACTTTTACTTATGAAAGTTGTTAAAAAATCAACACAGCACAGTACAAGATATATTATTGACTTAATAAACTTAATCAAAAAATGTTAGCTGAATTGTACAGATTCAAGCTTATGAGGATTACAAATTATAAATATTAATATCAGTAACAAAACATATTTTTAACTTAATTATTAAAAACTCTATTAAAAAAACTAAAAGAAAAAGTCGACAAAAATAATTATTATAATTGTATAAGAGACAAACATAAAAAAAAGTTTATATATATTAAATAAATTAACAAAACACAATTTTCTAAACTCTAAAACATTTGATAAAAATTCAGTTCAAAATTGTTAAATAATTTTCATATTCATGGACACAACAACTGTTAAACAAAAGCATCAGAAAAAACAGCGGACACAATATATGGAAGTATAAAATGACTCGACTGATCATAACATATCTGTAAAAACGCTGGAGTGTGCGGACATGCAAACTGGCAAGGGCAGGAATGCGTAAATGTATAAAAATACATTGAATATCTGAACATTATACTATTTGCTATAAAACTAGCACTGTTTCTTGCGGCAACAAACAAAGACAACTAGTAGAGACTGGCAACACAGTTGAACAACCCGTCGGTAACATTCAAGTTCCAAAGGAGAGGATTCGTTTCTCAAGATGTTTTCCCACCTAGAAAAAGTAATTTGTATTGTTTAATTTTCATATTTTGTTAGGTTTTTCCTTTATCTCATTATTTTATAAATTAAGGTTTTTCTGGTAATAAATTTTATTTAGAATCAAATTTTGCTTAAAAATCTGATTCACACCAAAATAAATGAGTCGAAATAGATCATTGAAATTTGTCACATACGGGAAAACCAACTTTAAAAAATTATAATGTTGAAAAGTAGCAGAGGAAATGTTTGGAGTTGCAGCCATAGAACTGACATTTTTTGAAATACTTGAAAAATTTTTTTAATTACAAAACTTTGAAACGTTTTGACACAAGGATTCTGGGCTTTATCCACGTCCACACTTATTCGGGTTTTCTTCGAGATTGTTTGCCAGTGGCAAAATGATTTCAAGTAGCCAGTTGAACAAAAATAGGTTTTTATGAATTTGGCTTTCGTCTGGTAGAACGAAATTGAGTTTAAAAAAGAGTATTAAAATGCACATTAGTCCAAGCACGTTCCCTATTGTCTTGTATTGTCAGTATAGGAAGAGTCTGCTGAATTATTTTCAGAGCAGGGGCGCTAATTAAGAAAAAGTGTTTAAAATTGTTTTTGAAAACTTTACGACTGTTTTCTGTACTAACTTTAACATTATTTTCAAATTTTGACTGTTTATTGTTGCATAGTATAGTGAACTTAATTACAGCAAACTGAGACATGGCGAAATCGATATTTTCTAATCTTTTTTGCATTTTCCGGGTTCACTATTTGTTTGTTTGAATGTTTGGGCCCGAAAGATCAAAAATAAACAATAGACAACAGAAAGGTCGACATTTCTTCATCACAACAGACAGAAACTAGCAAACAAAATTCATGGCATCAAAATTTGAGAAAAATATTTTTAATAATAATAATAATGTCATTTTATGTAGCTTAATGACAAGCGACTGAGGCGTATTATTATTATTACAAGAGACACACAGTGTATAAATACACGTGAATCAAGGCGTCACTCACCCTTGCATGGAATTGGCGGGAATTTGTTTACATTAGGACGCTGCATCAGCAAGGCCAAGCACCTTAACCATTAAACCATCGTGCAACCCCAAGAACATGTTAATTAAAAATTATAAAACAAATTTCAACTGAAAAAAGGTACAATAAAAATTATGAAAATATTCTGTACAATAATTTTCGATGGTATACCTCTTTTGTGAGAAAGATTCCCACAGTGCTGAACCATGATTGGAAAGAAGATGGTTAAATATTCTTTTGCACGTTCTCAGGAAGGTCACGTTATGGCAATTCAAGAGGTGGCATTTGCTGATCAAGATGAATTCAACCTTATTGTTCACGACATCTATCACCTAAATTATAAAAAACATTCACTTTTTTATCCATCAATAAATGAAATAAAAATATTTAAGCAGATAAATATCATTTTGCCGCTTTTATTCTGCTTTGCCCTTTTTAGTAGTTGTAAAAAATTTGTTAAAATGATTAATTTTGACTTGTTTTTGTTTGGCGACATTTAATTGAGAAAACCAAAATTTGGCCACTTCTTCTTTCATCTCATCCCAGTTCTCTTGAATCTGGATGTATAAGGAATGAACTGGTTGAGTTTATCAGATTGGTTGTAAAGATATAATTCTTAAGAGATAATTATTTATGCATATTAGTCAAAATAAATATTTGGTAACTAAAATTTTCCTTAACAAATTTTAAAATTTATATGAAAATATTTGTCACACTGTGTATTTACAAATTCGATGTTTGCAATTGATTTTCATGAACATGGAAAATACAAGAATAATAATAATCATTGCAGAATGTCTTAAATTTATTACGATTTCTATGCAATTGCTGAAAGCTTATAAAATAGCCTAATAGTCAATAAGTAATTTTAAATGTAAATAATCTAAAATACTTTCGTTAGTAATTCTATTGACTGTTTATCAGACAATCCAGGAACTTTAAGATGGAACGAATTTAAATAGATTTTCATTATATCCATTTCCTTCGCCGTTAACTTCATTTCTTCATTCTAAATTAAAAATATTTTTCAAACGAAAGTATTAAAAAAATAAAGGTTTTACCTTTCTTGTAACTTTTGATTCATTCAAACATTTGTTTGATTTTCTTTTAATCTGTGGAAATTTATTAAAATGTAAGTTTTTATTTTTTCTTTATAGTGCAGCTCCGTCAACCGCAGAGCTGCTTACATGTTGCTCTATAATACATTTTTTAATCAACTCATTATGCCACAAAGGCTGTACTATAGGTATTCATCCATTCCACAAAACGCACAAACACACTATGCATGCACGCGCAAGCACCGCATCATACGAGTTTTGGACAGCAGTATTCGAACCATGCCATCTACACGATGGCATGGTTCGATCTACACATAGCAGCGCGAGACATGGCGCTCCTACTGACTGAGCTAACTTTATGACCATGAACTTAATAGGTTAACATTCAATTCGATGATAACTACTTGTAAGAGAATCAATTTTTGCTTCTCTAAATACTTCTTGTAATCGTTCTCACTGAAAAAGGATTCAAAAATGGAGTAAATTTTCTTGAGAAATCTCGTGTAGGAATCCATAAGCTGTGGATTGTTACATGGGAATATCAGTTTGAAGTATTTTGAAGTCACTTGCTCAATGTCAGTGGAAAGGCCAGCCATCAACTCATTCAGCATTTGCTTCTACAGTTGATAAGACAATTAATACGATTTAAAGCATGATTTTATTTTAAAATCATCCAATTCCTACTTGATGCTTTGTTATTAGAGGTTTTATCTTATTTTTCAACATCAGAGCATTTGTTATACATGATATTTGATCGTCAATTAATTGGGAATTCACTTTTCTTTTTGAATTTGGTGTTTTTAAGATTCTGTAGGTGGTTTACAAAATAATTCAACTAAAGAACTCCATATAGATTAAGGATAAGCCGTACAGTTTTTGTACAAGCCTCAGTAAACTGCCGATTAATTCTTGTTTAACATCAGCTTCCACCTCACAGTGCACATCCAAACTTGGCGACTGATGAATCTGGTAAATTATTATGAAATTATTTTTTGATGATGGCCTAAGTTCAAATTGTAAAATTTTAATGTTAATCAGGAATTCGAACTTACAGACAGAAGCCAGAGTTTGCTGTGTTCATCGAGCAACATATCATACGCCAACAGTTCAAAGTTAACACAGCAGTCATCCACATTTTCAACATTTTCAGCAAGAGGTCTGCTAATTTTTTGAGCCATAGACAGTTCAGGATGAGAAATAATTAGAGTTTTAATGATGATATCATTTGCCTGATTCCATAAATAGGCTTTGTCAATTTTTTTTGAATGCAAATATTCCTCCAATTTATGAATTGTAAAAACAAATTGATTTTTTTTGGCATGTTTGTCTCTGAGCTTCGTTATATGGGCAAATAAATCGTTCTAAAAAATGTTTTGAATATTAACGGGGATATATATATATATATATTAGAAAAATGAATATTAAAATATTGATAACAACCAAATTGTTTAGGGAATAAATTTTGGGAGCCATATAAACCAAACCATCATGATAAATGTGAATTGTCAGTGGATTGTGGCTTGTTACCAAAGCATAAAATCTCAAATGAAATTTTGTATTATTGATTAAAAGAGAATTCGAAATATATTCTTCAATCAACCCACGTGTTTTATTTGAAAAAATTAGCTTTTCTGTTGTCATAATTTGGTATCTGTTTGAAAACGGTTCATATTAATTTTGAAAATTATATCACTAATCAGAATTAAAAAAGGTTGATACTTGGACATATCATGAAGACCATCTGATTTATAAATGAAAAGTTTTTTTTTTCTATTTTCATTCAACCAGGCGACATATTTCTGAAAGTCATTTAGCTCTTCAGGTAACTTCCATGATTGATTTTTGAAGCTCCACTCGTGAGGGTTTTCAGATTTTAAACTGTTAAGTGGGTTTGTTTACATCACTCAGTCATTAAATGTTTTACAAACATGAAATAAAAGCCTTACATTGAAATATATCTCGACAGTACTTTTTTATCACATATCATTCTTAAGCCTGGAAAATGGTTAAACTTTTGACCAACTCGAAGTTGAGATATATTTTCTAGCGAGATAATTTTGTCAGACCAAATTATAGCACTGTTCAAAAATCAAACAAAGAAAATAGATCAAATGTTACTTTATTTAAAAAATACTAATATAAGAAACTAAGCAAAATGTTTTGTAAATAAATTTTTGTGCATCCATAAAAATAATTCAAAAATTATAAAAATATATCAATTGAAATAATCTTGCAACAACAAAACCTTTGGGTTTTGTCTCTTTCATGACTGATATGTAGACCAAGTTGCATAGATATCTGCTCAACTAAAAATAGGAATAAATTGAATTTGTTGAAAATTAAACAGTACATAATGAAAAAGCATGACTTGCACTGCATTGAAATATAATTTTGAGTTTATTTAAAAAGTTATTTAAACATTTTTTAATACTTACTTAGTCTAGGTCTAGAACTAGATCGAGCATCGCATAAATTAATTGTTCGTGTCCAATCCTTATCCAACTTTTGGGCAGCAGGAAGATTTTCCAGTGAACAACATTTATTATCATTTGTTATAAGTTTGATCACGTTGCCATCGTCAACCCATGTAACTGACTTTGACTTTTTTGGCCTCGTATTTTCATGTAGTAATAATCTATCGCTCTTGCTTTCGTTATTTACATTGTGAAGATTTAACGTAGATTTAGAATTATAATTGTTAATTTCATCGATCGGTTTTACCAACCTGTTGATATTTTCATTATAATTTTTGTGCAAATCATACTTAATCTTACTAGCAATTTTTTCCATCTTTATCGTTTTTATTTCTCGTGAACACGCCAAACACACGAAACGAAATCACCTAAAAATATACGCGCTAGTTTAATACAATGTTGTACTCTGATCACTATGGCAACGGGAAAATAGATTGATGTGGATAATTCTCACGAGTTATTAGATTGAGGTGAACATATACATAGAATATATAATATATAGGAATTTCCTTATTATTGTTACATATACCATGTGAAAGGGGCAGTGATAATTTTATAATTTTTGATATTTCCGCCATCATTTTTTGAATATAAACATGTTTCGCAGATTTTGTAACCAATGTAAACAAAATTATAAAAATTACTGAAAATTGCATGGAGGCTTAAAAATATTTATTAACGTACAAGTTATCTCAGGATCACATAGAATTATTTTCTAATGCTGTCCGCAGAAGTGGTTGCTGAGAAAGTATAAAAAAAATTTCTATAATGTGTATTCCATATTCATCTCTCATTTTCTCTGTCTAAGTAAAACTTCTTCTTAAAATTTTTCATTTTATGTCACTGATAAACATTTCTCTATTCTGTTTTTATATGATCATATGCTAGAGTATGTAAATTTATGTATGTATATTTTGTATATGTATATATCTTTGTATCGTTTTATGTACTTACGGAGTCCGTACAAGTAAGTAATAACTTCTGGCTGGATTAAGATTCTTAATCCAATATTTATTAAAAAAAAACACGGACTGGAAACAACATCGTGGATGACAGCGATGATCAACTGGAACATTAAGTAAAACCAAAAAAGAAATAATCTAA